GGGGGACGCGTCTTGGCCGCCGGTGGTTGTCCCCCCGGTCCCGGATGTCTCTGCAGAGCCCCGCGAAAGTCCCGGGCGAGGAGATACGTGGCATTCGTTGGGCGATGTTTGTTTATTTTCACCCGCTTGTCGTTCGTTATTTCGCCCCCCGCCCCCCCCCCCCCCACCCGCACACAGCCTACACTCATACGCCCCTGCTTTCAGGGACGGGCGGTGCCGGGGGGGGGGGGAGGGGCGCCCGGAGGGCCGGGGGAAGGCAGGAAGAGAAGGCCCCCCCTCCCGCCTCAGTCTCAAGTTGAGGCCCCGACCGTTCCGTCTTCGTGTCCCGAGCCCGGGAGCCGGGGGACGCTTGGCCGCGAAAGCGAATAGGCTCTCTCTCCCCCGCCCGCCCCCGCTTCCCACCGTTGGAACGGTTTTCCATCCATCCATCCAACAACCGCCGGAGAGGCTGCCCCACGAACGGAGACTTGGGAAACATCGGGGGCACCCTTTTCGGCACCCCTCCTCGAATACCTGACGGCTCTTCGTCGTTGCGTCACCCAACACTCCCTCCCGCTCTCCCGACGCCTTCTTTCCCCCTGTCTCCTTGCCTCCCTGCCTTTCCTTCCCCCTACCGCTCCACCCCGCCCCCCCCCACCCTTCCTCCTGGCCATCGCCGCCGCCATTGCACTGTCGTCGCCGTTGCGCCCTCCCCCCCCCCGCCCCCCCCCCCCCCTCTCCCTCCTCCCATCTTCCCCCCATCGCCGCTGCTATCTCCGCCGGTCCGGTGTGAACGCACCCGGTTGAGGAGTCCTCCTCTCTCTCCCCTCCTCCCCTTTCTCCCCCCTCTCTCTATCCCCCCCCCGCGAAGCCCTGCCCCAGCAGCGGCACAGATCGCCCGGCTCCCCCCTATCCTCGCCCTCTCACCCCTCAGGCCGGCGCACTGTGATGCCTGGCCCTGGTTCCCTTCCCCGGTCGGTGGACCCCGATCCAGCCAGCCCACGCTCCTTTGCCGCCGCTGCCGCCGCCGCCGCCGCCGCCTCCTCGGCATCCAGTGGCACTGGTGCGCCGTTGCTCCCGGCCCTTCATACCTCTTTTCCCCTCTTCTCAATTCACTTGTCCCCCCCCCCTCCTCCCCCCTTGCGCTCGCCACCTCCCGCTCGGTCATCTCCCCGTCAGTTGACTGACCATCATCCTGCGTCTCCCCCAATCTGCCCCGAATCCAGAGCTCTACTCGTCCACCGCTCAGCCGGCCCTGTCAATGACTCCGGATGTCTTTCACACCCATCGCGCCACCGCGCTCGGTCGCCGGCCCAGCTGGACCCCAGCCCTGCCGGAGGACTTCGACCGTCTCAAGCCCAATCGCATCTCCATCTCCACCAGTGGCGGTGCGTGTGCCAGCCACCGACCTCCCCTGCCTCTCCCCTCTTCGCCTCGCCATCCTGTCTAACGTGTATCCCACTTGGCCGTCACAGAAACGCCCGTCTCCGATCAGCCTCTGTCGCAGCTGGCCCCACACTCACTTGGGCCGAATTCCCCCCACGCACCTGGCCCTCGTCCCTCCGCCAATGGCGGGGCCATTTCCAACGGCGATTCCACCACAGCCGCTTCCTCCGCTTCTACTGCGGCGGCCGCCTCAGGGTCCGGCTACTCCCTCGGCGCCGGATTTCCCGTGGGAAGCCTCGGCCGTCGGGCCTCGGCCCCGAACCTGGGGTTTCCATCTGTTTCGCTGTCATCCAATTACCCAAACATGGATGGTCGCGCGCCGATGAATACCGCCGGGCACTTTTTCCCCTTCGCCGCGGCCGGAAGTTACATGACCGCCGGCTCTGGGCCCGGGTCCGACAGCTCCACCCCGCCGACTGGCGGCGTCTTCTTCCCTGTTCCGATGGCTGGCACTCATCCTCAGTGCGTCCTTGCCTCGCCTCGTTGCCCCGTCCCTCTTTTCCCCCCCCCCCCCCCCCCCCCCCCCCCCCCCCCCCCCCCCCCCCCCCCCCCCCCCCCCCCCCCCCCCCCCCCCCCCCCCCCCCGCCCCATGTGCCCCATCAGGCCTCCCTAACAAAACTCGCGCCCCTTCCACCTCTCCAGCTCATCCATCCCGCCAACTTCGTCCGATGCTGCTGCCGGGTGCTCTTCCTGTCAGCGTGCGTTTGTCTTGCCCAAAATCCCTGGCCCCTCTCATGCATGCGAGATCCGCCTCTTTCTCTCTCTCTCTCTCTCTCCATCTCTGGCTCCATGTCCTAATCCTCTATTTGTTCTCCCTCTGTCTTCCTCGGCTCCCTCCTTCTACTTGGGCTTCTCAGTGGCCCCTCCCCAGCATGATGTCGGCTCGCCGGCTGCCTGTCCTCTCCCCGGCGCCGATCCAGCTACCGGCAGGTACTTAGCCCCTCCCCCCGTCTCGGGCAATCCCCAAACCAACATCACCCTCTAACCAAGACTCCAACTCCCCGTCTCCCCTTTCCTCCCTCTGTCGCTTGGGCTTTTTTTTTCCCTGCACCCTCCGCCCTCCCCCATCCCCTCTTATCCTTCTGCTGCTCCGCCTGCAGGCGCTACTCCATCGGGATTGACCATCATCACTGGGCTTTCCCCCCCACTTTCTCCTCCGGATCGGGCACCGGGGCCGCACATTTTGCTGGCACCCCTCCTTCTGATGGGACTGTCAGCGGCCCCAATGCTCCCCCCTCGGCCAATGCCCCTGTTTCCGATGACTCCCTCAGTTCGGACAGTCTCCTCGTGGCTGCGGAAGCGGCCTTTTTCACCTACTCGGAATCTGCCTCGGGCCCTGGAGCCGGTGTCGGCACCGGGCCCGGTGCCGGTGTCCCGATCCCGGGTCTTGAACAATCGGATCTCGCCGGCACCCTGTCCGATGGAGAGCCCTCTGGTGGTGCCTTTTCCCGGTCGCCAGGGGGAGCCCTTCGCCTGCCGCCGGTCGGCCACTTTGGCGACTTCCCCGGCGAATCCAGCGGCCTGCATGGATCCAATCCCCCCGGTGCCGGCAACAGCAGCAGCAACAACAGCAGCAGCAACGGCAGCAACAGCGCAGGACGCGGCATCTCGCCCATGAATGCCTCGGCGGCTGTTCATTCTCTCTCGGAGACTTTGCACCATCGTCTGGCCCTCGGGCCAAATGGCGACTCCTCCTCGACTGCAGGCCAGGCGATGGGTGCTTTTGCTCCGCCACAATCGCAGAGTCAGCACTCGCCGCCACTGGCCATTGCCGCGTCGGCCATGCCAGGTGAGCATGCCCTTCTTGGCTCTGGCGCCCGGCACCCGGCCAACTCCTTCGGCGACGTCTTCTCCATTCGGCGCATTTTCCTCCCCGGAGCTGGTCCGGGTGCGTCCGGGCCTGGCGTCATTCCCGCCCTTCAACAGGAGCCCATGCACTTCCCCTCGACATCCTCCATGTCCGACTCCAGCCCCCTGCCCACCTCCTTCCGGTGCACCACCACCGACGACGACGACGACCTGGATGCTGTGCTTGACTTGACCATCCCCGGAGCGGGGAGTGCCAGCAGCAGCGCCGGCGGCGGGTCGGCCCTGGTGTCAAGCTATTCCACGGATTTGGCCCTCTTTGCCGAAAGCACAGACATCCCGGCCACCGGTCGGAGCCGGAGCTCCAGCGATGCGCCACTTCTGGCCCAGAGTGCCTCGGCTCGCAATGCCCTGGCCAGCCATCCGCCATCCTCCTCGTCGGGTTCCTCGCACCAGGCCGCCGGGCAATTCCACCCCCACCACCCGAACCACATGCCGTCCGATCCCTTCTTCATCGCGATCCCGCCACCGTCCCAGGCTGTACATACACTTAAAGTAGCAAAATCCATTGCTACCACTCCCGCTCCCGCTGCCGTTGCCACCGCCGCGGCCCGATCATCTCAGGCACAACCCGCCTCGGCTGCCTCCGCCGGCCCGAGCACCGAGACCCTGGCCGAAGCCCCGCCAGTCAAGCAGCAGCCCGCCTCTCCCTCCCCAGCCTTCTCGGTACGCGCCGGCCAAGCCATCATATCCCCCTCCCACATGCACGCGCAGGCACATATATGTTCATGCATTTATATCCCAGCCCTGCTGTTCGCCTCACATCCAATACTCACATGTGCTCCTTTCTCTTTTGCTCCTCAGCCCTCGCCCGACGATGCGCGGGCCAAATTCCGTTCTCCCAGGTTCCCCCGTGTGTCTGGTATGTATCTCGCCTTGCAAATGCCCAATCCTTCCCTCCCTCCCTTCCTGAGGTGCTTCATTTTTCGTGCTAACTCCTCCCGTCCTTTTTTTCTTTTTTTCTTTTTTTATCACCGTCTGCGACCCCCTTCCCCTTCATGGATGCGCCCATAGCCGGCCATGAGCGGCCCTCCCCCGAGCCGGCCTTCTCCGAAGAGGAGAGCCTCCCCCCGTATCAGGACAAGGCCGATGCCGATGATCTCCAAAAAGACAACACCTCCCAGGGAGGGTCCTTTGGCTCGGCACCGGTCCCCTCGCAACCGACCGGCGGCGGCGGCGGCGGCGGCGGCGGCCCGCACCATGTCAGCTCTGGCCCCAATGCCGGGTCTCTTTCCCTGGGTAGCCTTCCAGCTGATACGGAGTTCTACCGGGTGGAGTTCAAGTCCGGTCGATCGGCCCTCTTCTTCTCAACCAAATCCAACATTGGCTTGACCTACTCGGCGGATCTTCTCTCCGGGTCGCGGCCATTCCTCCGCGGTGAGGCGGTTCGCCAGCATCAACAGCAGCAGGCCCAGGCGAATCTCCTGCAAATGATGCAGCAAAACAACGCCAACACCAATGGCACCCTGACGACCCCCCACTACCAGAAGGATGATCTGGTTTTGGTGGAGGCCGATCGCGGGTGTGACCTTGGCCGCATTGTCGAGCGCCTCCCCCGATCCGAAGTGCCGGATGTCTCGCTCAAGCCCATCTGCCGGCTGGCGCAGCCCAGTGAGGCCGAGCAGCTGGCTCAGAAGACCTCCGACGAGCAGAAGGCCCTGATGCTGTGCCAGGCCAAGTGCCGCGCGCGCAAACTCCCCATGGAGGTGGTCAATGCTGAGTACCAGTGGGACCGGAAGAAGCTGACATACTACTTCATTGCCGAGCGTCGAATTGACTTCCGTGATCTCGTGCGCGAGCTTTTCAAGGTTTACAAGACCCGGATCTGGATGTGCAATGTCGTCGATGAGGACCCTGCCTCACGCGGCCATGGACCATCTCCCCCAGTACACTCGTCCAGTGCCGCAACCTCGGCTGCTCCGGTTGCTCCTTCTTCCTCGGTCTCGGCCACGACCTCCGCCTCTGGCCCCACACCCATGCCCGTGGCTCCATCCCAGACCTCCTCCTCTTCCTCCTCCTCCTCCTCCTCCTCCTCCACCCCCACTCCTGCTCTTGGCGTAGCTCCTGGTCCTGCTCCCCATCCGGCTCCGTCCTCCTCCCCGGAGCAGGCCTCAACTTCGAGTGCTGCCGCGGCTCCGGGGCCATCTTTGGCACAGACCGCCGCCTCGGGCTCGGGCTCGAGTCCGAGTCCAGGCTCGGCATCCGGTCTGACTGCCTCGACTGCTTCGGCCTCTTCCCTCAGTTCGGGAGGCAACCCCGTGCCAGTCGTCCAGGATGGGCCTCCAGCAGCCACCTCGGTGACGTGTGCTCTTCCGATCTCTTCGAGTGCTGCCGCGGCTCCGGGGCCATCTTTGGCACAGACCGCCGCCTCGGGCTCGGGCTCGAGTCCGAGTCCAGGCTCGGCATCCGGTCTGACTGCCTCGACTGCTTCGGCCTCTTCCCTCAGTTCGGGAGGCAACCCCGTGCCAGTCGTCCAGGATGGGCCTCCAGCAGCCACCTCGGTGCCCCTTTCTCCTGCCCCCGGCATTGCCCCGGTCGATTCGGCCCCGATTCCGACATATTCTTCGGACTTCCTGCTTGGCCTCCTGGCCTCACAACAGTTCATGAAAGCCAGTCCGGAGATGCTTGCCGCTGCGGCTGCGGCCGCGGCCGCGGCCGCTGCAGATCGGAAGAGCGTCGTGTAGGGCCCGATTCCGACATATTCTTCGGACTTCCTGCTTGGCCTCCTGGCCTCACAACAGTTCATGAAAGCCAGTCCGGAGATGCTTGCCGCTGCGGCTGCGGCCGCGGCCGCGGCCGCTGCCGCCACCACTGGCAGCGATCCCTCCTTCAACAGCCACATGTGGGGTCGGCCCCTGTCCCCGGTAAGCGCGCCCTCTCCGTCGGCCGGGGCTCCCCCCTCGGCCGCCATGGCTGCTGCCGCCGCCGCCGCCGCTGCCGCCGCCGCAACTACAGCCGCTTCTCAAGGTGGCCCTTCCATTTCCATGACCAACGGATCAACTAGCCCCCATGACCAGACATATGCCCCCAATGGGACCGGGATGCATCTCCCCCACATGCACATGCAATATTCCCAGGCATTTGCGGCGGCTATGGCCGCTGCCGCGGCCGGCCAGCAAGCGGTATCCTCTCAGGCCCCTGGCGGCTCGTCGCCCGTGGGCAGCAATGGCGCTGGTGGCCTCAGTCCGGGTGGCACACATATGGTGTCGGTTCCCCCTCCGGGCGGGCCGTCCCATGTTTTGTTGCCTATTGGCCATGGCCCGATGGCGGTTCTGGGGTCCCATCATCCGCACATGCATCACCACCATCTACATCACCTGCAGCAAGTTGGCCCTCTCGGCCTGCCAGGTGGCCACCTCCGCTCGCATGTGGTCCCGACCGGGGTTTCCGGCGCGCCGATCGGCAATGCCTCGCTCCATCATCCGCACATCTTTGCTTTCGCCGGGCACCCGCATCACCTTCCCCTCCACTTTGGCCATATGGCCCCTTCCCCGGGGCAGCAGCAGTCCGGTCCTGGTGGTGGGAGCCCAGTGGGCGGGTCCTATGCCCCGGCCCCCGCAAGCCTATCGTACTCACAGTCGGCGGCCATCGGTGCCACTGCTGGCAGCATTGGGGGTCACTTGACCGCCCTCCCGCCGCTGTCGCATCAGCATCCTCCACAGCAGCAGCAGCAGCAGCACCATCAACACCAGCACCATTCGCTGGCGCCTGCTAGCACGACCTTAACCCGCTCCCCCGGCCCCCACCATGCCCAGCATCCCCACCATGCCTACCCTTCCCATCCCCACGTCCATCATCCCCACCACCACCCTCATCGGCAGCCAGGCGCGAGTCCAGCTGGCAATGGGGCCGTCGGAGCTGACCCCGCTGCCCAATCTCTCGGCGATATGGCCGTATAAGCAACGCACATGTGTGCGTGCGTGCGTGCGTGCGTGCGTGCGTGCGTGCGCGCACACAGGCAACACCCGAGCCTGGCTCGCATCCGGTCCTCTTCCTGGGGACACCACCGCTCTGCCCTTCTCCCTTGTAATTGTATCCTCCTCTTCCTCTTGCTGGCCATGACGTTTCCCCTGTTGCCCATGCATCCTGTAGATTTTTCGCGCATCAGCGCCCCCCTTCTCCCCCCCCCTCCCCCCCCTCTTTCCCCCCTCCTCCCCTCCCATATATAGACTGTGGTTCATGTGAGCAAGCCCCTCCCCCCGGGTGGCTTTTATGCTGTTGTTCCCGCTGAGAAGGGGGTTGCTGTGTCTAGTCTATTTCAGCGGCCCGACACTCCTGACCATCCACTGGCCGCCTGTCAGAAAGGGAGGGAAGAAGAACGGGAAAGTGGGGAACCCCGATTGCCGATCTCGATTGCCAGGGCGGGGACCAACGGAGTCGGGATCAAATCCAGGGCCAGCCATCGGCCGCTCTGAGCCGCCGTCGGCTGTGTCTGGCCGCCCACCGAACGTCAGTCTTCCTCCTGCCCAGGTGGCCGCTGTGTGATCGAGTAATACCCGCCCGAGCCGGCCTCCATGGTGGAGATGTAAAACTGCCGGAGTTCGTGCTGAGCACGATCTTCGGTCATAATATCATCCAGGGATTTCCGACTCCGAGGAGCCTGACGAGGCTGCCCCGGGCGCGGGCCCGCCCTCGATGCACTGCCACGCCGGCCGGACCCCGCCGGCAGACCCTCCCCACTGATCGCCTCCTGAAGGCTCGGGAATAATTGACGGTTGGAGACCATGCGCGGGGATTGCTCGGCCGAGGAGGACACCGCCGAGGAGGCGGAAGTTGAGCTCGCCGAAGTCGAAGCCCATGCATGTGACCCAGCGGCGGCCATCGGCACCGCCCGCGCATCGAAGGTGACCACTTGGTTTGCCGAATAGCGCAGACGGGGAACCGACCGTGCGGGAGCAGCCGGCAAGCGTGCATCCAGCGAGGGGAAGGTCTGCTCCAGGGACCCATGGCTCTCGGCGGTGCCTTGAACAACCGGGACTCCCCGGGGGCCGGGCTCCGGCCGCGAAGCAGCAGCCCATGGAGAACGCCGGCCCATATCGCTCCCGGTATGAGCCTCCAGCTGGGTGCTTGATGGGCCGGATGCCGCCGCAACCGCCGCAGCCTCAGCCTGTAAGCGCTTTTGCTGACGTTGGCTCAGCTTCTTGAAAGGCTGCACAGGGGCCGACGGCATGACGTCACCGGCCGGCGGAGGGGAGGGAGATTGCGAGGTACTCCGGCTGGCAGGGACCTGCTCCGGCTGGCTTGCCACCGGGGGAGTCGCTCGCGACAGGGGAGGCACTTTGGCCGGTGTTGAATCCGCCTCGCGCGCCGGCCGATGGGCCTCGCGTGCGGAGCCAGCCCGCACGCGCCGGGATCCGCCCCCGGCCAAAATGGGCGACTGTCCAAGGGAGTCCAACGCGGCCAGGGTATCCCGCAAAATGAGACCCTGGTGGCATGTGGCCGCAGCCACACGCTCTTCAAGTGTTCCCACGAGCGGCAATGGGGCCAGTAGTCGGGCGGCCAAATCCCCCGATCGCCCGCCCGCCCGTCGACTCTCGGTCAGCAAGCGCGCCCCCATGCCGAAAACATCCTCTCCGCGAGTGCCGACATCATCCAAGGAGAAGGCCTCGACAAAGATCTCCCGGTCCAGTGGCTGGGGCCCACCACTGATCAGCATGCCGATGGCCCGAAGCAGGGTGCTTCGCACCCGTGCTGTGTCGGCCACCGACAAATCCCCCCGCGAAGCCAGTGTTTCCAGCTGGTCCACACGTCGCCGGGCCTCCAACATTGACAAAGCCTCGGCACCGATGCGTTCCCGGCGGTCCATCTCCTCGCGGTATTCCCCCACCCCCAGGAGCAGGGGCGCCGCCAAATCGCCCTGCAACGCCTGCCAGGCCACCGCCGCCGGAAGAGCGCCGACACACGCACGGCGGGTGTCCGGCAGCGGAATGAATGCTGCTGCCTCGGCAATCGGCGAATCCCCGGGCCCGGTACCTGACAGAGGAGCCGGGGAGAGAGAGCCAACAAAAAAGCACATGGGGTGGAAAAAAGCAAGGACATGTTGCAGGTAAGAGCAAAGAAGGTGGAAGAGAAAAAAGGAAACATCAACGGCATACATCCCCTCGAAGGGCAGACGCACAGAAATCCGACAAGATACGGTCGCAGACGGCCAGCAAGCTGTCGCAAGCCATCGCTCGCGCTGCTCCCGCCAACAGCAGCAGCCATGCCCCGAGAAAATGCTCGACCGACACACGCCGCGCACTTGCCAAAAGAGCGCCCATTTCCCCAGGCAAGTCGGCCTCCAGGACAACATCCCCGGGCAGGAGATTTTCCAACGGCAACATCAGCCTACCAGTAGCGAGGAACTGTCGAACCGCCTGGAGAATCGACCCCGGCAAAGCCATCCCATCTACCACAAAGGACCCCGAGACCGAGGACGTCAGTCACACGCCCCGTGAGCTGGATGAAGGCACATAAATGGGCTGTCGGAAGAGGGGCACAAGGTGTGTCAGGGAGGGGCAAATGATTGCCAGGCGCACAGGTATGCTCGGAACCGCGTGGCTGAAGCTCCACATGCAGGCTCAGTCCCGGAGCCATTGCCGACAACAAAAGTCTTCCCCAAGAGCACGGCGATGGCACGGAGTCAGATCAAATGGCCTGTTGGATTGGCGGGAAAGAAATCCTCTCAAGATGTACCGATCAAAGGGTGCCCCGCCGTCGGGGGAGTCCTCCGGGTGGATGTGCACAGTGAGGGCCTTTGGCATCGGGGGAGCCTTTTCGCCCAGCGCCCGGAGCTGGTGCAGTACCAGCTCCAAATGGCACCACAGACACCGGCTCAGGCCGGAAAGGCGCGCCAGCTGCAGCAAGCCCGGACGCAGCCACCGGTCAAAGGCAAACAGCAGCAAGTCATCCATCGGCGTGGCATCCGGCCGGGGAGCGAGCCCAGCCAGCGACAACCCCGGCAGCCGAGACACCTCCTCGCATTGACAAAGACCACTTTCAGGCGACTGGCCGACAAATCGCCCAAAGTAACATGCCGGTCCGTCGACCTCGCCCAGAGGCCAGATGGCTGACTCGCTCAGGGCCGCATCACGCAGAGCCCCGGGGAATTGCCCAAGAAACTGCTCGGCCCGCAGGAAGAGCCCCCGGACGAAAGACTCCTCCGGAACAGGATTCCCCCTTGCTTCCGGCACCTGGGCAGCGGCCGCGCGCACGGCCGGAACTCCCGCCTCGCTTGGCCGGGACAATTCGCCAACCATATCATCGAGACATCGCATGGCCCAGGCCGGGGCCTCGCAGGTGGACGGAGCCGGAGAAGCATGCAGTACGCTGGACGGTCTCACAGCAGCCTCGCCCTCGAGGCCAAAATGCCGGAGCAACAGGTCGCCCGTTTGACGCCGGCGTAGGGGCACCGCGAGCAGGAACCGATCAAAGTCCTCGCGTGTAATCCGCGGAGCGGGATCCAGGAAGAGCCCGTGCGCCAGCTGGGTGAATCTGTTTTCGGGTTGCCAAAAATCCAATTGCATCAGAGCGGGAAGTTGCACGAGTGTCGGCATGTGTGCAGAGGATGTGAAAAGGGCAAGAGAGAGAGAGAGAGGTGAAATGGCTTCGAACGACGCGCCGTCACGTACGCCACAAGAACCGCGAAAGAGCCCTCCGAGAGGTCCGGAAGATTTAGCACGGGCACGCCATCCGGCCCCAGGGGAATAGGGCCGCCCAGGCGTCGGGTCTCGTCCAGGATCGGGGACAAAAGCCCCAGTGAGGGAGCATGTGCCCGCAGAGGTGGACGTGCACGACCACCCGGGGCCTTTGCCAGCAGGGTCACCAACCCGGAGGAGATGCCATGCGGCAAGTGGCCCGACTGTGGCCTCCTATCACCCAGCCAATCGGCATTCAGTAAGTTCCACATCCCGGCACGCCGCCGGAGGAACTCCACGCGCGCTTGGATGAAGGCAACCAATTGCTGGAGGAGATCCAGCAGCGAGGCCGCATCGGTCGGCCGCACGAGGCCCTCATCATCCTCACTTTCCTCGCCAGCCGGTGCCCCGGCTCCGGACACGCGGATCCCGGACAACAAACGCCGCGGCAGGGTCTCCGGGATCGGAGCCTTCGCCGGCGGGGTATGTGCCCGTGCCCAAAATTGCACGGTGCCTCGGCGCCGGAAAGAGTGCATCGGACCCACGGCGTCCAGTCGCGTCACCGGAACCGACACAGAGATCCACACCGTGGGAGACACCCGCGGAAGGCCCATGCCTTTGCCGGTGCCCGGTGGAGCACCATGCGTCAAGCCGCTCGCACGAAGGGCTCTCACGCCGCGACGCGACCAGGCCCGCATATCCGGCCCCGGGTGGGGCAAATGCGGGCAGCTCATCGAGCAAGAAGACACGGCCCCGGGTTTTGAATCACAGCCAAGCAGCAAAACCTCCCCCTCCGGGGCAATTGCCGCCGCGAACACGAAGCAATCGGCCGAGCTACCGACGCCCAAAGGCTCGGCCGTGCTGGGCTCCTCGTCGGAGGTGTCACATGCCCGAGGCCCGGCCAGGTGGATGGCCCCTCCACCAAAGCGTCCGAAGCCCTCGGCATCACCGGATCGCGGCGGCGGCGGCGGCGGCGGCGGCGGCAGCATCAACAACACCCCGCGATCGGTTCCACAGAGGATTCCCGCGGCCGCGGGCACCGCGTCGCCCCCGACACCCGGGCCTTCGCCTGAGCAGGTGCACCGAGTGTCATTGCCCAGCGTGCAGGCGTTACAGTCAGACCGGACGCCGGCCGCACTGGCCACCCAGGCCGGGGCGCCGTACAACGCCCCGGGAAGGGGAATCGTGCGAGACCCATGTCGCGACCAGACCACCCACTCGAAAGTCCCACCACGCAGGATGGTAGCGGCCACGGCCGCATCGGAAGTTGCCACCGAGGCGATGGCCGTCACATTGGCCGGCAGGGCCAGCGACACCGGGGCCACGGTGCTTGCTGGAACTCGAGGTCCCGGCCCCTGCCCGGCGGCCGGATACTGCGCACCAAATTGCCCGACATTCCGCCCGCATGCCCAGATCCCCGGATGCGAATCGCTCGGCGGCCGGGGCCCAAGCCCCGAACAGGCCAGGGGGCTGGCAAAGAAGACCGAATGCCAAGATCCGGCTGCCACACCGGCGATGCGGCGACCGCGGAAGGCCGCCGCCAGTAGCCGCCGCGGGCGAAGAACCGCCAGCCGCACTGCCAGTGGGCCACTCACGGACGGACATGCCAGACTACTGACCGGGGCTCCGGGGCCCGGATCGCCAGATGACCGAACAGTGGGGTCACCCGCTATCGAGACTTCATGCGGATACCCAAGGCCAAGCTGGCCCCAGCCATGCGATCCACACACGAAGACCGCCCCCTCGGCCGAGAGGAAGACCGAGTGCCGGACCCCGGCGGCCACTTGCACAAGGGGCGCCTCCCCCTCGGGAAGGGGGACTGGCGCCCAGCCATCCGCACCGCGGGCCTCCTCCATCCGGCCCAGGCGCCCATCATAGGCCACTTGCGCTGCGAGTGCTGTCCCTCGCGACCACACCTGGCCGCCCTGACTCAGGAGAAGCTCATGGTAGGGCGAGGCGGCAAATTGTCGCACATGCATCGACACCGCCAACGATCGGATGAGGGACTTTTCGGGCTCCGACGTGCTGTCGACCTCGGCCCCAGGCCTCCCCGGCGCCAAGACCCCATCTGCAAAGGGGGAGATCTGCCTGGCGGATGGCCCGGCCGGTCGAATGGCAGAATCTATCAGAAGGAGATCCGTCCGGCCGGCGGTACAGCGATCCATCCACCAGGCCTCCCGGTCTGCCGCCAAAGGCAGGACACTGTCCCCACTCCGAAGAGACGCCTCGAGGGAGGAGCGGAAGAGCCCGGTTGTGCCGTCTCGATTGAGCATTTCAACACTCCCCTCGAAGCTGAGACCCAGACGAAGGAGCACGGCCCCTGTCGGGAAGCGCAGAAGGACGAAAGGTGATCAGTGGAAGTTCGGGCCAAGCGGTGAGGCGCTCGCATCGGGCAATGGAAACTATCGGGAAGCCGACGGAAGTGGACATATACAAACAGACAGACAGACTGGCAGACAGACTGGCAGGCAGACATACAGACACACAGACACACACAGATAGACAGGAATGCTCGCACCAAGTACAAAGTGACCATGCTCAAGGGCCAGACGGGCTGCCTGACATGACATTCCCCGCGAGGCGAACCAGGACTGCAGGCGACTCGGGGCTGTTGGGCCCAGGAGCCCCACCAGGTCCGTCAAGGAGCCGGCCGACAGCCGGGCTACTCCACCCCGGATCTGGCCACCCGCCGGGCCGCCGGCTAACCGGGACAGTAGTTCCAGCGACCCGGGAAGATCTCCAGCCACGGCAAGAACCTCCAGCGCATGACACACCTGCAGCTCAACCGCTGCCATGACCGGACTCCGTGAACTATGATCCACGAAGCTCAGCAAGTTGCTCATCAGGTTTGAGGGTTGCGTGTGTTTGTGTGTGCGTGCTGGCCTTTCTTGATCTGGGTGGCTTCCCGGGCACACGGATGGGCGGGGACGCGAAGAGAGCCGGAATAAATAAGGCACAGAATCAGGCCCGAGTGGAAATATAGGCTACTTGCGCCCGAGAGAAGGGGCAGGGACAGAGAGGGGAGCGAGCGAGAGAGAGAGAGAGAGAGAGAGAGAGAGAGAGAGAGGAGAAGGGGCGAGGGAGAGAGCTGATCAAATTGGAGGTGGGATGTTGGCTGCACCGAACCAGAAAAAGGTCAGATGCCTCAACCCATCACCCCCACAATTGCCGAGGCGAATCTGCGCAATGTCTCAAACTCCGAGGGGGAAGGACGAGAGACAGGGAGAGAGACAGGGAGAGAGAGAGAGAGAGAGAGAGAGAGAGAGAGAGAGAGAGAGAGAGAGAGAGAGAGAGAGAGAGAGAGAGAGAGAGAGAGAGAGAGGGAGAGAGGGGGAGAGAGACAGGGAGAGAGACAGGGAGAGACAAAGAGAGAGACAGGGAGAGACAAAGAGAGACAAAGGGAGAGAGAGACAAAGAGAGACAAAGGGAGAGAAAGACAAAGAGAGAGAGAGAGAGAGAAAGACAAAGAGAGACAGAGGGAGACAGAGGGAGACAGAGAGACGCACAAGGCGGCGGCGATGGACAGAGTAGCTGGTCAGCAGCAGACCACCAATCGCGGCAAGCTGGACCCAGAGGCGGGGACATCGGCCAGGGGGGATTGGACGGGCGGAGGGGGAATGGGAACAGGTCAGTGCTGGAGGAAACATGCATCATGCCGTTGGAAGGGAGTCGCGGCATGGCTGCGGCAGCGGCAACACCGGCAGCCACATGAAGCAGATTAAGCAGGCACGACAAAGGGCAAGACAGACAGCGCCAGCATCAGGCCACAGCACCGCGAGACCGCCTCCTGCTCGCTGGCCATCGGACGCACCACACCGAAGGTGATGTTACGCGAGGCGGCCTCCTCGCCAACGCGGCTGGCGTCAAACGGCGCGGTAATCGCCTTCAGGCACCGGTCCAGCAGCTCGCTGGACTTGTTGATGCACTCGGCAAGGTGGGGATGCATGGCGATGGGAGGCGAGCAAAGGGCGAGGAGGGAGGTGGCAAACGGGGGAGAATGGCCGGGGGCTGTCTTCCCAGGGATCCGGAGCTCCGGCCAGCTGGGAGGAGGCCGAAAAGGCAGCCTCCCCCCCCCC